ACGATTTGCCTGTGTGTAACAAGTTGCAAAGTTCTTTTATTTATTTCTTCTTCGTTTTTTTTTCTTGTGTCGTCGGCTTTCGTAATACTTAAATCACGATTACAACGCAACAAATAATGATTTACAGAGTGAAACACAGTAGAAAATTACACAATCGTGTTATTAAATGTTATATTAATATGATTACAAAACTAATCTCCTTATTGCAGACTAACCGTAATAGCTGTAATTCTGAAAGTTTATTCAAATTAAAGCCTGTATTTTTTACTTTAATTAGTGTTTTCATATTTGTAATTAGCAGACTTGACTGTAAAGTTATACTTAAAAATGTGAAGATACTTATTTTTCGAGTATTTTCAAAATGTTTTAACGAATTTTGCAACAACGGCAAATGCTACAAATCTGGAAATACACGCATATTAAAGCCTGTATATTTGCCTTTAATCAAAGTCTTCATAGTTCTATTTAGCGTGAGTAACTATCAAGTAATATATAATAAGAAAACGTAAAGACTGTCTTTTTTTTTTAATATTAAAAATTATGTTTTTTCAACTTTGACTGCATATTGCAAACAAACCGTAACAGCTATAATTCTGAAAGTTTACTCAAATTAAAGCCTGTATTTTTTACTTTAATTAGTGTTTTCATATTTGTAATTAGCAGACTTGACTGTAAAGTTATACTTAAAAATGTGAAGATACTTATTTTTCGAGTATTTTCAAAATGTTTTAACGAATTTTGCAACAACGGCAAATGCTACAAATCTGGAAATACACGCATATTATAGCCTGTATATTTGACTTTAATCAAAGTATTCATAGTTCTATTTAGCGTGAGTAATATATATATTAAGAAAACGTAAAGACGTTTTTTAATATTAAAAATTTAGTTTTTTCAACGTTGATAGCTTTTTACAATCAAACCGAAATAGTTATAAATATGAAAATATACACATATTAAAGCCTCTAGATTTAAGTTTAATTAAAATAATCATAGTTGTATTTAGTTTGCTCGGCTATCAAGTAATTTAGTAAAACGTGTAAACACGTGAGCATTTAAAAAAATAATTTACGAGTTTGGCAACTCATTTGGCAGCCAAAACCAAATTGCTGTAAACTTGGAGTAATACACGTATTAAAGCCTGTATATTGTACTTTAATTCATAGTTGTATATATTCTGTATAGCTGTAGTGTAATTCAGTAAAACGTAAAGATGTTGCTTTCTTTTATTATTTAAATATTCTTAAACTTTGACTACTTATTACAGCAAAAATTAATTAGCTACAAATCTGTATATATACACATATTAAAGCTTGTATATTTTTCTTCAATTTCAGTATTCATAGTTGCATTTAGCGTGCATGGTTGTTGAGTAATGCAGTAAAACGTGCTGAAATTTTTTTTTTTTCATTTTAAATATTTAATTACAAGAAAACTGTATTAGCTACATCTCTGTAATTATGCTCATTAGAAAGCTTAAGGTATTAGCTATAATTCTATCTTTATTAGAGTATTAATAAGAAACATAATAATAGTTTTATATTGAGGTAATGATAAATAAATAAATATAAAGTCCACAGAGAATAAATTACAAATGATATGAAAAATATACACTCGTCGACTAAATAATTTAGTAGGTCGTCGACGATGTCCACACCACTTCTTCAACAACCTCGCATCACAAACAAACACGTAATATTCTGATAGACCAATTAATTACAGTAAATTAATTTCCCATGTAAATGTATTCGTACACACAATATTATCACAATTTTATTTTTTTTTCGTTGATTGATCACGTTGTCATCGCCGGCAATTACGTTCCTTCCCTCCCGCGCCCTTCGCAACCCTTCACTTATCGCCGTCCGACACGTCTTTCATCGGTAATTACATGTAAATAAACCGCAAGTAACGATTACGTACTTGCAACAACAACAGCAACAGCAACAACGAGAACCAACATTTTAAGCGAGAATACGTAATAAGGATGAAACCAAATTATAACAGTTTAAAAGACTGCGTTCGGAATTTAATGAATTAATTAATTAGAACCGCGTCCGCCTGCTATAAATAACCGACGTCAATTTAATTTTTTTTTCGTATTCAATTTATTATTGGCACTGAAAATTAACCCTCTTCGCGCCCTAATTTATATTTATACACATCATATGAATATTCATGCGATAACGATTTTTATTTTTGATCTCCGAAAGTCCATTATTGCAATTAACGGGCGCGCTTCGTCGCTCTTTCCATCTCTTCAAATTTGAGCATTATTTATCGTATCTTAGTTACGTAACAAACAAATTGAATCTTCGTTTGTTTCAATCATGGCCATTCGTATTTATACTTCTTATAAATTGCATATCAAAAGATGTTATTTTGGTTTTCTTAATCAAATTATTAAATAACAAAAGAAGTCGTTGTTATTTAGTTAACTTAAATAAACAAGAGATTTGTAATGAAAATTACTTATTTGGATTTTGTCTATATAAAGTATTATTAATCTTGAAACTTTGTTTCAAATTCTTTATACAAAATAGCGTAGAAAAGAAGAGAGCAAAAAATTCTATAAGTAATTTATTTTATGGATACGTTGTTGTATACAAGTAGTGTAGTAAGCGTGCATAAAAGTTGCATGAAGTAAGCTGAAACTTTGTTTATTTCGTTATAAAAAGCATTATTTAAGTATCTAAATAGATAATAGAAAATATTGTAAACTTGTGATTGTCATTTAATGTAATATTAGATTTAAAGTGGACTTACTTGCGAAAACATTCCCAAAGTATTTGTTTTTGTTTTTCGCGAAAAACAATTGATCCTGTCGATTGTAAATAGAGGAATTTATATATATGTGTGTGTGTCTGTTCGGATCCTTATAACAACATCAACGTGTGCAACGATTCATGTCCATCCATGTACGTGGGGGAAAACAGTGCGAATGTTTATTATCACCGGACTCGTGCGTTCGTTGCGAGCGTCGCGACGTCAACTGTTTCCCAACGACGGCGTCGTCGGAAATACAAAAGGGGGAAACGAGGCGAAGCCACCCTTCCAACGTTCGTGTCGTCATCCCCCTTGTAGCCGTCGCGACGCACGCGCCCCACGAATATCAATAATATGGGAACAGAACGCGCAACGACGTCGCGACGCTTATGCGGAGCGGTATGGAGGATTTGTTTTTTTTCTTTTTGCGAGCGCCCATCGGAGTGTGCATCGCACTACCGGTATCTCTCGCAAAAAGCGACGATATAAGAAGATAAATAACGTTTGATATGGTAAATTATCCTGTCTTGCGATGATCGACTTCAGAATAAGTACAATAACTTGAATGCGCACCAATAACAATCTTTGGTAGAATGAAGAAGACATCAATCAATCAGTTTGTTTTAGTTATTTGCAGTAGGAAACTGCTATTTTTCAATTCGAATTAGTATAAGATGATATAATAACTGGCGCAATAGCAGAGTTTCACTTGATGTCTACAACCAAACACACTTTCGTGTATATATGGTTGCTTACAATAGTCAAATTTACGGAAAAATTTATGCAATTTTCAAGACATAACGCAACTTTTGTTACATAATGAATTGCGCCTCTCTAACGCGAAAACGAAAATGTTTAAAAGTTACGTAACTTTTGTTGCATCTGATTCTGCAATAAAATAAGGGAAAAACTAACGTAATTTTCAAGTTATTAAGGAAAATCAAAATTTTCTGTCTTACTGCGATTTTTAACAACATTTCGCAAAGTTTTCGGTAATTTTCAGGTGCTTTTGAAGTAGAAATATTAATAAAAGTTTGTTACCTGGCGCATTTGAAACGTGACGATCTCCAATTTACGATTCTTATTTAATTACGTAATTATCTTGAAAACAGAACGTGAAGATGTTGCATTTTCAGCAATGACTGTTTTATGAGCAGAAAACTGTCTGTGGGCTCATTGGAAAGGTGAGACTTGCAGTATTAAGTTGAGTGCAAAATGATATAATTAGCTTAGGTTCTCAAATAATTGTCTTTTTTTTTATAAACATAAACTCGTTGAATGTTTTACAGCTTCGCTTCATGTAGACTGAACTAGTCCTTTTGATGATACAGAGTCTTTTTCGACAGAGTCTTTTTCTTAGCCGACATAGGAATTTCTAAGTGATCCTTACAATGTCAGAATCAAAGGACAAGGATATTTCCATTGCATATTTGATGCAGAGTAAAGTAACAAACAACAATTTCAGTTTGCGCTCTGTTCGTCCCCTTCAGCTCTTCTCTTACAAGTTTTCATCATTCCTACGTTAACTCCAACGACCCCACATTAATACAACTTCTCCAAGACTTTAAAAAACACTCCCCCTCAGTGATGTAAAACATTCGTTTTTTCGTGCAGTGAAGTGATTGTTACTAATATTTATTTGTGTTCTATCTCTGTTTATTTTCTTACTATTATTGTTGATGTTTTTTTTTGTAAAACTTAATAACAGAAGGCTGAAAGAGGCTAAAGCCCATAACAGTCTACATTTTTTTATATCACACCCTATGTTATTGTAGTACATATATTTAAATAAAAATTTTAAAATTGAAAAAATCATTCCTAAGAACTTCACATAATATATGATATATCGAGATTATGGTTCAGAGGGTAAATGAAAATGAAAAATGGTTTTGTATGAATTAAAATTTATTCAATTTGGATTATAGTTTCTAGTTTCTAAATGTAACAGTTCGAAGGACTCGAAATTTATTCAGTTCAATTTCCTCGAATTGCAAAAAAAAAAACAAAAACGAGATAAGAAAACATCATGTAATAATAAATAGTTATGATATGCGCTTATTTTTTTGTTTTGTTTTGTTTTAAATATATTTAGATCAAATTATAATGTCATAAGAAATACGTTAGACAGTCTAAAATATGTTTTTTTTTTGTTGTTGTTGTTGTTGTAGTTTTCGTTTTCTTGCCGTTGCTCAAGTTGTGTATCCTTCAAATAAAAATT